TAAATTAAGATGTTTGTTGACTCTAAATTCAAATCTCACCATTTTTCCCCTTTCTTTCCTCATCCATAAACTTGGAAGTAGCAAATCTTGTCCTGCCCGTGTTGGGGAGGAAGATGCTGAGTTTTACAGTGTAACTGGTTATGGGAAATGTCATAAATTTGTGTGTCAAGCCCTAAACTATCCACAGGATTTAAACCACAAACTCTTCAAGGGGCTGAATCCATCAGGCAAGAAAAATTCCAGTCATGCTGTCACCGTCCTGTTTTGTGGAATGTGGATGGGGTTGGGAAGAGATCCCAGAAATCTTAAGGAGCTGCACAACAAATTTCAAGCGACACATTTATGGAATAAAGCAAAGCACAGCTGAGAAAAGGAGGAGATAAATGTATTTTCCTGGCTCTGAAGTCATCGTAGGATTTTACAGCTCGTGAGCAGAATAAAAGGGAGGAGGTTTAATCCGAGAAGAGATAAGGATGAATTTTGCATTGAGATGAAACAGCGCTTTTTAACTCCAAATACTTTGTCACAGCGCAATTTGTGTGTGTGTGTCTTTGCACCCAGCAACTCTCTGAATTCAAAAGGCTTTTCAGAACTGCGTTAAGTGCTCTGTTAATGTGCAAATGCTGCAACTCCCAGCTCCGGGTAACAGCAAATGAACCCAATTATGATAATTCTCCTGCAGCTTCAGCACTTTTTGCTCTGTGTATTTATCATTTTGTGTTCAGTGGGTGCCACAAAGAGCAGAAAGCAAAGTCTGTCCACCCACTTTCATCTCTCTCGAGCAAAGGAGTGAATTGAATTAAAGCATTGAATTATAGCACGAATCCCAAAATCGGGGGAGAAACTCTGTATCCAAACTCCAGGGAAAAGTTATTTCCTGCTGATTTCCTCAGCCTTGAGAATAAACAGCGCTCAGTCTTTCTCTGGGGTTCTTCTCTGAAACATTTCACCTGCTTTGGGAAAGAAGAACCCCAGTAAAACACCTTTTATTTTGCAGTAGAAGATTTGTGAAGAGTTGCATTTCATGCTCATCTGCACAGTTATATAAACGCTCAGCAAAACTGCACAGGAATTATCCTGGTGAGTATTTTTATTCTTATTATTGCAGTTTCTTCCTTCCTGGATAAAATATTTCTATATGTGGTCCAGAAACTTTGAAAGAATTTAAATATGCCAAAATCTTTTTTAAAAGCCCCGTTTTATAGAACAGAGATCTTTCCCCAGCTGATGTCGGGCATTGTCTGTGATATCTTTATTTTAAGCTCGTCACAAGATGTACTGATGCCTCAGACTTGGAACAAATTTTAATTCTCCTCTTCAAGAGGAGGAAGCTTGAGTGAAAGTGAAGATTTTGGGTCAGAAGTGGAACTTTGATTTTGCTTTTTTTTTCGAGTCTCAGTTTTCCTGAGAGATTTGCAGGAATTTTCCTGCCCTTTCTGCTGGAAAATTCCAGCAGGAGTTGGTAACTGGGAGAGGGGGCTGAGTAAGTGACAGGCAGGGTGATGCTCCTGTCTTTCTCAAGGCTTCCCTTATAAAATCATGGAATGGTTTGGATTGGAAAGGACTTTAAAGACCACTTCATTTCA